GTAGAAACAAAAATTATCATTTTTAATCAACCATATAAACCAATTTAATTTAAAAACTGTATGCCAGAGTCAAACTCTGTTCTAAAATTTATTAAACTAAATTGTATTTTTGTTGTTACTCTCACTTTTGAAGAAGGACACAAGACACAAAGCTGGTAATAATGACACAAAGTCCAACTAATGGTTCAATTTTTAACTAGAAGCATTTAATAGAAATGAGTGCAAGAAGTTTTTATTTTTTAAAAATAAAGATGTAAACAATTTACTATTCTCTATGTGTGATTTTTATATATATCATCATAGACATAGTATTTAACTAGTCTGGAAATGAGGTCTGTTTTCTTAAAACATTTAAGTTCCTCTCTATACTTGTGCTCAGGCTTCTTTAGAGTGCATCAAATTGTAAACATTGTATTTCGCTATAGTTAAGTTGTATATATTCTGGGATAAATATTGAAATGATAGGAGCAAATTGTGTTTATTTTGGTTATTCAATTTCAAGAAATTATTTTGGATTACATATATATTTTGTTTTCCGAATAAAAATAATGAATATAGCATAAAATAAAGATTAACATTTTTATTTAAGTTAAGATTAACAAAAATTAACAGTTAATAAATGTAGTTATGTGACAGAGTTTGTAATGGTATAGTCTTCTACCTTAGAAGGTAGAAAAATATACCTTACTAAGGGTATATCACAGATCAATATGTGGAATACCCTTAGTAAGGGTATTCCACATGTCGATGACATATCTATAGACATCCAGGTAGAAAAATTATTAAAGGTAGAAAATTGTATGACTTTTGTATGAATTGTATTACTTTTAATATAATTTAGGTAATAATCAAGGAATAATTTTCTACTTTAGAAAGTAGTAAATAGAAAGATTTATCTTAGGAAGATATATCCTCTCCTATGGTAAAAACTTCAACCTTTTTTTTTTAACCGTGAAATACCAACAATTAATGTTATGCAAAATTTTTTTAGTACTAAAGTATAAAGTACTAGAAAAATTATTCGAAAAAAATTTATTTTAATCAAAATTTAAAATCGAAAAAAAATTAAAAATATAATAAATTTGTATATACAAATTTATATTGTATTTTTACATACTTTAAAAATAGCTTTTAAAACTAAAACTCAAAAGCTTTATTATTTTTTTGGTATGTATATCATAGCCAGTCTTCTCCATTTGAAGTTTAATGCCAGCACACAAAAAAGCGCTGGCAGGATGGTCATTTTTTAGTTAGCCTGCGTTTTTTTAAAAATTAGTTTTCTCCTGATATTTAAATTTAAATAAAAATAGTGAAAAGAATGCTTTGAATAAATACTAAATAAAATAATTAAAAAAAAACTGGTAAAAAAAAGCAAATTTTCATAAAACTTGCGCAAATGAACAAAAAAGTTTTGTTGCAATTTAAAACAAAATGCTTAGTTTTTTGGCAAGCACTATTTTATGCACTTGCCAAAGTTTTTGCGGGTGTGTGGGCTAGCACGAAAAGACTTGAGTGCAAAAAGACTTGAACTCGAAAGTGCTGGATAAATGGAGAAGACTGCATAGCAAATAAAGTAATTATAATTGATGTAAAAAAAGATGATGCGAAAAAGTCTGCTAACAAATATTGTGTACCAAAAAATAAGTAGTTGCATAGTTCTATTTTAAAATCTGCCTTGACTATAAGTTTTAGTAGCGATTTAGATTTATTATGTTAAATATAGAAAAATATCTCACCTTTTAGGAAGTTATTTGGGGAAAAACAACAAAAAACTTGTTATTATTTTTAACTAAAATATAATATCCCATGATAATTTTCTAGTTTTAAAGTCTGCTGCAGTGTATGATGATATACTTATCTAGGTGACTTTACCACAATTTGTATCACTGCACAACAAATGTTTCTTTTTCTTTGAAAAGCAATAAAAATTTGTTAACTAAACTCATTTTAAGTTATTGCTTGTAACTTGCAATGGAGTTTCTGCAAATTGCAAGTTGCTCAAAATGCATTTTAATGATTCATTTATACTTGATCCATATCTAAATGTGATTTATCCAACTTAAAACATAGAGATAAAAAAAGGTATATGTAGAATGATGGTATGTTTATACTGTGGGACCATATTGCTTATATATTCTGTAAAAACACAGAATGTGACTTTCTTATTTTACCTTAAATTAATTTTGAGCATATAAAGTTGACACCGTATTTTATAAGAAGTGTTAAACTGCCTAATTAATAAGTTTTTACTGAATTAAACTACATTTTGGAATACAGTATTTTTGCTGTTTTACTACATTATGGAAAGCTTATTTGAAATTTACTTTGGACACCAACAACCACTTGATTGCAAGAATAACCCATCTTTTAATGAATTTGACTTCAATAGTAACCTAATTAAAAAATATATTTATATAGCTGTGTTAGCTGGAAATATAATGTATTTAGCTATTACAAATTAGTAGAAAATCACTTAGCAAAATTTTTTACTAATTTGTAATTGCTCTGTTCTTTTAAGAACATTGAGCACTCTTTTTGTAGAATACATTTTAAATTGTTTATATATATATATATATATATATATATATATATATATATATATTATATATATATATATATATATATATATATATATATATATATATATATATATATGTGTGTATATATATATATATATATATATATGTATATATATATATATATATATATATATATATATATATATATATATATATATATATATATATATATATATATATATATATATATATATATATATATATATATATATATATATAAAACATGTAAAATTAATAATTTAATAATTTAAAATTAAAAAGACAATTATATCATTTTTGTTAATCAATCTTGTATTACTGTTTTATTATAAAGTTACTAAACCATAAAGCCATTAAATATACATTAAGTGTTTATTTTACTACTTTAGGAGTTAGTAATATACCAATATTTTTTTAAATATGTAGCTATGAAAATAGCTGAAAATTTACAAAAAAGCTGTGGTTAATGCATCCTAAAGATGTCATAGATGTCTGAGATTAGTAGTCATTGCTACGAAATGTGCTAACTGGGTATAAAAGATAAAAATCACAACAAAATGTAATAGGCATTTATATAAAACATTCTTATATGCAACATAATTATAATCAATCATGTAGCATATTGTATTATTTGTTTGTATGTATGATATGAATTTATCATATATTTTAAAGAACAGAAATTTTAATAGTACATGGAACTGTTTCCAAAAACAATTAACTAATATCAATTCACTGATACATACTATCGATTCATAAGGTGGCTTTGTTCCATAATTTTTCTTCCAGGTCTAGAAGATCTTTTTTCGTCTTTAACCAGCAAATAAATTCCATGAATTGAAGTGGATGGTCAAGCAAAGCCCTGATTGCCAACTGTAGAGGGAAACACTTAACCCTAAAACAATTAAGATTTCATCAATCTTTGAAAAACTGATAGGCAGTCTCCTCAATTTCAATTTTATTGCAATATTAAGCTGGAGAGATAATTTTTCCTCATCACTATTAACAGCCGTTTTAATGCTTGATGTAAACTCTATCGTTTCCATCCATAACATTTCCATCTGCAATGAATTGTATGACTTTTGTATGAATTGTATGAATTGTATTACTTTTAATATAATTTAGGTAATAATCAAGGAATAATTTTCTTTCTATTTACTACTTTCTAAGGTAGATATTTATTCCTTGATTATTACCTAAAGATGAAATCTTACTAGTCAATGAACAGTTATTTTATTTGAGTCAAATATAGCTGTTTAGATCATTAGCATCTTGTACATGTGTACCTTAAAATTAAACAAGCAAAAACCATATTTTAAATAAGATAATTACCAAAATAATAAAGAATCCTTATTTTCTGCTACTTCCAGTTACCTTTAGGAGTAAGTGTATGCTACACTTATGACAGCTAAAAGGCAAGATGCTTGAAAGTGATTGGCCAATAGACCCAACTTCCATAAATAAATATATAATATAAAAAAATTTAAATTGACTTTCTTTTCAGATTATTATTTTTTTTAACTAAAAATAGTCTAAAATTTTATTGAGTTTCATTTCTTAATGTAAAATGTAATCACTTTTTATTTCAAGTAGAGTTTGATTACTGGTTAGTAAAAGAAAGTGAATTTTAAAATTTGTGTGGTTTGGACAAATTTCTATAATAACATTTTCTTACCTAAATATATAAATAAACTTTTTTTTTATCAGTGTTTTCATTCTCCATTATAGGTTGCCTTTACTACAGCTAAAGAGTTGTACCCTGAAGACAACCAACTTGAGGTTCTAACTTATTACCTTGAGATTACAAGATTCAATTAAGCATAGGTATATAAAATAAGTCTATCAACCTTTTGTTCCTTTGTATACTTGTATTGGTCTAATCGTTTATATGTAATTGTAGATTTGATATTCCCAATATGGATTTAAATGTTTTTTAATTGTTGTGACATATGTCGAACATAATGTTTCAAATGGTAGACTATTACACAAATTTGTGATTCGCATACTAAAAAAGTTTTTCTGTTCATGTGTCTGACAAAATATCTTTTTCAATTTATAAGCATGACTGCAGGTGTTGATGGATAAAATACTGAATGATATTTAATGAGGATACGAAAGGGTTGTAACTACATTAATAAAGATTGTGAATGCCTTTGTAAGTTTCTACCATGTCGTTATGTGAGAAACAATTGCTCATACTAGTTAAAGAGTTCAGTCAGGCAAAAAACAGATTTACAAGACTTGAGCAGAACATTTTCAATTAATTGTTGATTTTTTTAAAGCCTAGGATAGTAGACAGCTGCAAGAATCAAAGTGAGGATGAACAAAGAAAATAAACAAAGTACGAAATGTCAAGATATTGAGATTAACAAATAATCCTTTGATCATTGTATAACTTAGTATCATCTTCAAATACTGATACAACAGTTGTAACCAAATCAGGAA